AATATTGGCCACATGAGAGTGTATGGAATGAGTTTAGGTTGTATTTGTTCAGTACAACCATTTGCTACCAGAGAAGGGCTGTGCTGACAAGTGCTTTACAGATTCTCAGCAAAGCTAAGGAATTTTTTTTATTCCAATAAAAATGCTGTGTCTAACACTTCAGATAGAACAGGGAGCAGATCTGCAACATGCCCTTGATTCACAAACAAGCAGGTAGAGCATCTGTACACTTTAGAAACTAGCATATTTACTCAATTCACTGCAACTCAGAATTTCCAAGAGCTCTCAATGGCATTTTTTCACTCTTTATAATATCAGAATGATTTCCTAAAGACAAATGTCCACTTTTACTTTGTGACAATTAATATAAAGAAGAAAATATAGGCTGAACTGCTACCTCTGCTGAACACAACTTAACTATAAGCTTTTGATTATTTATTGCCATGACTTGGGTCAGCATTTAACAGATATCAAAATATATATGTGTATCTAACTCTCAGCACCCATGTAAGGTGGACTTTCTCTTCCTGTGTACCATTTAGTTTAGACATGTATAGTTTGAGAAAATGATTAGACCTGCCTGCATTTGAATTTGATCCATACATTCGCATATGCCCCAAGGAAAGCATAATCCCTGCCTGCTCACAGAAATATATCCTGCTTCAATACCCCACCTTTCCCTCTTGCCCTGTCCCTCTGCTTATACCACTTTCCCACTGAACCTCATACACATACACTCACATTCAAACATCCCACCCTCACCTGTAGCTCCCAAGATGGCCAGCGTCAGGAAGACAGGTAAGATGGTTTGGAATGTTATTTGGAATCTTGGCTCACCTGCAGTCCCGTTTCTCCTCTCTGTCTTCCTCAGGCTTGTGGGCAGATTATAATTTGTATTAGTCATGGAACCAAAAGAGAACATCTTTGGTCCTGTGTGGGCTAGGGCTGTTATGCCTAAGTGGACTTAGCATTTTGCAGCAACAATTTATGAAATGGTACCCCGGAAGAGTTGATTCACCTCCCCTGGGTGAGCTGAGTAGTGTATGTGGCTCCCAGAGAAGAGTTCACATTTCTTCCAATCGGCACCCAGGTCTGCCCAGAAGCTGCATGACTAAACTCAAGTTGGATGGGGAGTGGCTTTAGCACCCCCGGTTGCACGTGCAAAGCTGCAAGGGCAATTTTAGAGGGTTCCTTTATCGCCTCTGGTAATATGAAATGTGGGTTTCCACAGCGGATAGTCATATTAAGAAGTAATGTTTTTTGGTTTGTTAAGGGTAATCAATACAGAATTTCTGTGGAAGTGGTGAATTATTGAGATACTCCAGGGCTTTTCACACAAGGATTTTAATGCAACAGAAAGAATTTCATCCACTCTCCATCCAAGCTATGCCTCACATCGCAGGCCCCGAGTGCATCCATGCCTTCGCTGACGCTCTTTGCCAACCCTATGCTTAAGCTCAGGTCTGCTTCATTGGCTGCCAGGTCATTCAGGATCACTTTTCCTGTCAAAACCATCAATGAGGGCAAAGGTCACTTTATTAATGACCCCTGTGTGGTGTGAGGTTTCTGGCATCGTTACCAAAATGCAATGGGGACTTAATGAATGCAGGGAACAGGTCCAAAATACAGCCAGCTCTTCAACATATAGTAATCACATCACCACAAAGAGCAAAGCAAATGCCGAAAGACGCTGAGTGATCAGAGTGCCTCAGCTGTGCTCCCTTCCCCAGTGCTCATGTGACTGGTTGCTCAGGTTGTCGTGGGCATACATTCCGGACTTTAGGAAGGAGTGGGTGGGTCAGGGCAAGAGAATGATCTCTGCACACCTAGATCCTGGAGATAGTTCCGTGGGTGACAGGGCTTTACAAGCCCCTAGGAGGTATTCTTACTCTTGGGTATTAGCGGATGGATTACTCACTTCATCACCAGATTTTGAGTCCACTCCCATGACCTCATGGAAAATGCCGTAACTCTGAAAATGAACTTAATAACGGTCATGTATTGCGTGCCTTTATTTCTCACAACATCAGGAGATGTAGGTATTCTTATTCCCTTTCTCTGGATGGAGGAAACTGAGGCACAAAGAGTAACTCAAGGTAGCACAGCCAGTTTTAGAACCAGAATTGGCTCTGACTCCAAAATCTATTCCCTTTCCATTTCACTGTAATTATACTTAAAAGTAACAGGGTGGGCATTGACTACGTACATCCTATCCTAGGATACTTGATAAACCCTTCAGGATTAGGCTACCATTAAATTTGCATGTGAACACAGCCAAGAGGTGGACCTGTGTCCCTTGCGTGTACCTGTGCTGGGGGGCAGAAGTGGACTGAGATTGGCCTTACAGGCATATCTCCTAAAGGCAAGCCCAGGAAATCTGCTGCAGCCCTAACACATACCACAACGCATTGGCACACAGGCACAGTTCCATTGTGTAATTCTAAATGGCACCCACTATGGTTATGATGGTTTTTAAAAATGCAGTGATGTTAATGGGTAGCATTTGCCCAAAGATTGCTTTGTCAGTGAATAAGCTGGGCCCATGCCTGGGTTCCAGTAAAAGCGATCGAAACCACCGGGCAAGTAGCCAGGGTCAGAAAAGAGCCTAGAGGTGGTTTGGAAGAAATGTCAAGTTTGTTTTTGTTTTCCCTAAACTGATTTACCCTGCCCTGTTCTCTACTCTTATTTTGACTCCTGCTCTGGGGCTCTCCATCCCCCGCACCCCAAGATAATCCCCTTTGTGCTCTCACATTCCACCCTCCCCTAACCAAAACCTACCTGCTTGGCTTCTCTCCCCTCAGGTTCCAAGTATCAGTTAGCCTGTGTGTTCATGTGCAGTTTCTTTGGGGTTCTGGAGAATACCACCTCTTTTGTTTTAAGTCATTATTGGCTTTGGTCATGGAAAGGTATTTGAGGGGAAGACTGGACTGTAGTCCTCATTGGAATGGCAATGTATGTGTACAAAGCTGGTCATTTCCACTCATGGCCCAGTGAATGGCTGGCATGACTTTGAAGCTGTAAGCTAATGGCTCTTGTTAAGGACGCATATACTGCAGCAAATTAAACTAGTCTTGCATGATCCCCTAAAGTAACTGAGATTTAGTTGTTTGTGTATCTGACTAGCTTTCTTGAACTGGGATATCTTCTCAGTGGTGATTAGGCTAAAAATCTGAACGGAGGTTAATGTCCCTTGTTTTAGAAAGTTGTATTAAATACAAAAGTTTGTCCTCATTCCACATATATTGAATCTGTTTACTAAAGTTCATAGTCCTGTTTTAAAAATCATTAGTTTCTGAGTTAGAAAATGATGTTGTAGTACCTCACTTTAATAGTACTTTAGAGGACTTGAAGTACTAACATTCTTCGTTCTACCCACGTGCTCCACAGTGGAGAGCATTGACACAAGAGGTCAGTCGAAATAGTCTAAGTCACACTAAGGAGTGGTTCTGGACATTTCTCAAAAACAGAGGGGACATTAGGAATTCTAGATTAAAAGCAAACGGAATCACTCTTGATTCTTAAAATTGAGCGAGAAGGTTCAGGGTTTGTAGGAAAAAAATATTTTAAAACAGTAGCTTGCATTCAGTGTTCATAAAACAGAAACTGATTTGAAAACCATGACAGAACCAGAGCAAAGGATAATGTATGGATGGGAACTAAAATTTAAACTAAGGAAGGAAGAAAGACGTCTTTATGCCATTGGATACGGTATAGGCTGCAGATCTTCTCCTAGCCAGTATTATACCCCCCCCCACCTCCGCCCCATGCACCCTGGTGGAGTCAGTCACTCACAGGAAGCTGATGAGGTGCATTCTTCAGAAATCAGTACTTGAGCTCTAATGTGACAGTGTAAGCAATTCAGTTATGTAGGTCATTACCACTTTGCACCAGGAACTGAGGAGTCATGGATGTGTAGTGGTGACATTTATGAATGGATAGCTACTGCTAAATCATCACATCTATCTTCCACTGATATGTTATGAGGTGACACTTTTCACGCTTAGCTGGGTTTTTTTTGTTTTGTTTTATTAACTTTAAAGACAAGATGGCAAATATGGGCTCTTCCAGTGTGCTCTGTTTAGTCACAAATATTAACCACCATACGTGCACTATCAACAAGAACAGCATAATATGCCAAGAGCTTATACATATCTTTCATTTGGAGCATCTCCATGATGGAGAGAACACATGTTATCCAAATAGGAAGGGGTCTTGTCATTGTGTTATTTTTTAGTTTTTAGTAAAATTCCAATCACACTATAGCCACCTTATTGACACACCAAGTGTACCTACATGAGTTAGCAAGATCCACGTCTATGGCCTAGAATCCTCCCCTGCAGACATGCTGATTGGAGGGACTAATCAGACCATTTTTGTATGTTCTCATCAGACTCTTTGTTTGGCTGGAACTCTGCACTCCTTATTGCTTGCATGTTTACTAATTTATTATTGAAATCACTGTATTTGCCTTTGTTCTTTCACAACTAACACATTGGCCTCTGAATGCATGAGTTTTGTGTAAACTGGTGTGTGACTTAGCAACTAATAAATGTAGCATTTGTATTGTATTTGGGGGCCTTAAAAATAGAATTGGAATAACTGTGCTAAAATATATATTTTTTTAAATTTATGTGGTAAAAATAAGGCAGACTATTGAGATGTTGTATACTTAATTCACCATTATGAGCTCTTAGAATAATTTTATCCCTTCTCCATTTTAGCTTTTTTATTCCATAGGACACTCCATTCTTGGCTTTCTAGTTGAAAGTATGATTCTGTGTACTAACATTTAAACAGTCCATTGCAGTTATAGGTTAGGAAGATAAAATGCCAGCATTCCAGTGTTGTGAATGACATTGTCTCCCAATAGCTAACCCTCTGCAGTAGTGACCTATGAAAGTAGAAGTCAGAGGGTTTGTTCTGAACCCACTTTTCAGATATTTGAAAAAGATATTAGGCCATCAGATAATATTTATTTCATGTGTTCTCAAACGTCTCAGGACTTTATCTCCTGCCAAGTCTCCATCTTCATCAACTGGGTCTATCGCCTCCAGCAGAAAATACCCCTACCCAATGCCTCCACTTCCCGACGAGGAGAAGAAAGTGAACCGGCAAAGTGCCAGGGTATGTGAAAACTTCCTCCGTACGCTAATGTCCTCGGTCATGACCGTTTATCTATGAGTTCATCTTTTCAAAGAGAGCGCTCTTTTTTCTTCTTTGTTCATAAGCAAAAGCAAAACATTAAGTTTGAAAAATATAGGATTCTTGGGGCATTGAGGCTCAGATTTATATTTGCAAATTATTTTAATCACTGCATTGATAGATTCTAGAAATATTTGGTGTATATTAATGATTTATTGCTATATATTTACATCTCATTATTCAGTGTAGCTAATATATTACAACCTGCCAGAGAGCCCAGTTTGCTTACTCAGGCCTTTTTCTGGCTAATAACACCAATAGGATTTTAGAAGCAGTAAATCAGATCAATGTCTTGGAGATGGGGGTGGAATTTGGCAACAAAGAAAGGGGACTTCAAAATTTGTAATATTTAGAAGGTATGGTGAAATTTAGCAACCTTTTATATTTTAAAAAGCCAGATTTAGCCCTACCTGGTTTGGCTCAGTGGATAGAGCATCAGCCCACAGACTGAAGTATCATAGGTTCAATTCTGGTCAAGGGCATGTGCCTGGGTTGCAGGCCTAATCCCTGGTCAGGGTATGTGTGGGAGGCAACCAATCAATGTGTCTCTCTCTCATTGATGTTTCTCTCTCTTTGTCTCTCCCTCTCCCTTTCACTTTCTCTAAAAATCAATAGAGAAATATCCTTGTATGAGGATTAACAACAATAAAAAGCCAGACTTAAAAATATTCATTGAGTTGATTATTTTTATAAATATAAGGTTCACCAGATATTTCATTTAAATACTAAGTCCTCTGTTACATCTTAATCATGATTCTAATCAGTCTTACAGATTAGATCCATTGTTCCCAAACAGATCCATTATGTGAAAAGTGAGAGGCAGACCAGCCCTTCAAGGCTTAAGTGACAAATATAATTGAAGAATAATTACCTTAATTGATGTCCTGGCTCTGTTGTGGTCAGTTACATTGTAATGTTGATCTTCTCAGAGATAATTTTGCAAAAAAAGTAAAATAAAATAAATTTTTAAAAGCCTGGCAGATTTATCTGCTAATGTGTCCTGGGTTCCTAGGCTCTTTGGTGTTGAAAGATATTTCAGAGCTTCTTTGATCTTGAACCGAAATTATGGAGTTCAAGGTAAATGTGGATCATTCAAATTTTAACTCCCTCAACTCAAAGTCAGTAAGAAAACACATTATAAGCTGATTACTAAATAAAAAAGACTTTAAAAAACAATCAATGTTGCTTTGTTAATTATATAAAAATTATCTTTATATGTTAATATAGAAAATGATAAAAGATGAAAAGGAAGAAGATAACTCAGATATACCTGGCCGGCATGGCTCAGTGGTTGAGCGTAAACCTATGAACCAGGAGGTCACAGTTCCATTCCTGGTCAGGGCACATGCTTGGGAATCGTGATTCTTTCTCAGCGTTCATGTGTCTATCTCTCTCCTCTCCCTCTCCCTTCCTCTCTGAAATCAATAAAAATATATTTTTTAAAAATATATAACTCAGATTCCCAGTATTCAACTTTCAGGCCTTAAAAAAGGGGCTTGTTAATAAGCATCCAGCTTTTCATGATATGTGTATGTGGTTATGAAATCTAAGGCGATCTCACTCCTTCCCTCACCGGGGAATTGCCGAGTATCTCTCCCCGATAAATTGTCTTCATTGCTGCTTTTGCTAGAAAGTTGGGGTGTCATGCCAGGGTGCAGGGTTTTAGAAACTTTCCCGCAGGAGAATTCCTGAGAATGACAAATCCCCAGAAGACATGGCTGACCATGGCCTCTTCTGGGCAGCATGGGGAGCAGTAAAGACTGTAGCCTCTGGGACAGTTGTGTGAAAGGCCTGGCTGGTTCTGTCCACTGTGGACCATCCACATGAGCGTATAACAGGGTCCTGCAGAATAGGCAGCCCCTGTCTTCAGGCTGTTTTTGTGGGCTGTGGCGAATCAAACCAGCAGATCTTTTTTTTTTTTTTAATATATTTTATTGATTTTTTACAGAGAGGAAGGGAGAGAGATAGAGAGTCAGAAACATCAATGATGAGAGAAACATCGATCAGCTGCCTCCTGCACACCCCCCACTGGGGATGTGCCTGCAACCAAGGTACATGCCCTAGACCGGAATCGAACCTGGGACCTTTCAGTCCACAGGCCGATGCTCTATCCACTGAGCCAAACCGGTTAGGGCATAACCAGCAGATCTTTCTATCAGCAATCCCTCTGTTACAGTGATACAGACATGGCCAAGGACATGCACTGTCCTAAAAGTGATGGCGTGGCAATTTTTAGCTTCTTTGTCCTGTCAGGGGTCATCGTGGCCTTCAGGTTTTCCCAGTGTCGTTTCTTTGTTCTTCTTTCAGCAAGCTGTCACTTATTTTTTATTTATTTATTTTTAAAAATATATTTTTTATTGATTTCAGAGAGGAAGGGAGAGAGAGATAGAAACATTAATGATGAGAGAGAATCACCGATTGGCTGCCTTCTACATGTCCCACACTGGGGATCGAGCCCGCAACCTGGGCATGTGCCCTGACTGGGAATCGAACCGTGACCTCATAGTTCATAGGTCTACACTCAGTCACTGAGCCAAGTATGCTGGGCTGTCACTTATTTTTTAATCTTCCTAACCATTTGTGAGGAAACTGGACTCACTGAAGCCTGAACTCTTTATTATCCATGCCATCCTGTGAGCATCAATCCAGATCTTCCTTCCCTCAAACTCCTGCCAGCCATTCATGGTCACTTGTCTTCACCAACATGGATTATCCCCCCACAATGACCCTCACAGTTAGGGATTTGGTTTACAAAGTGTGAGGAGATGGCTGTCTTTTTAAGTGAGAAGGACATCTAAAGGTGACCTGAGGTCGATAACACCGGTGGTTGTACCACAGTTCTGTGGGGTCGCCAGCCTGGGCATCAGCATAAGAATCCATGAAGATTCAAGAGAACATATCAAGGGAACCTATATAGAAATATCCATTTAGTTCTTTAGTTATTTCTTTGTTTTCATTCCCAGAAACTCATTAGTTATATGCCCCAGACTTCCAGTAAAAGTGGAAATTGGATGCAACCTAAGTCACCCTTAGGCTTTCTTTGTTCATGTTTATAATAATTATACCCAAATCATATTGTCTGGAAACATAATTTATCAGCTAGATATTTTTTTAAAAAATTGGCCTTCCTTCTCTGGTGAACTGAGTTACATTCATATTTAATCATGCCAAAGTTGCTTCGAGTCCATTAAGGCAATTACTGAACATCATGGAAATTAGATATGAACAGGGCCAATATAAAGAGCTGGTGGCAGAGGCAAGGAGAGGGAAGAGGTGAGGAATTAAGGCTTTGATGTCCTGCCCTGGATGCATCATTGTACTCTGACATGTCAACTCCCAGGAGAAGACACTGTTCTAGGAGGTAGAGATGGAATTGGAGGGTGTATAACCTGGTCATAGGCCCAGGGCAGTGATTTTGAAGTGGGTGGTGGAGAATCATACTTCCCTGAGGTCAGTACTCAGTGTTGGCTGTACATGGGATTGTCTGAGGCCTGAGTCCCACTTAAAGAGACTGGTTTGGTGCATTGTCCAGGAAGTGGGATTTTAAAAATGTCCCCAGACCACTGAGCCGTGCCGGTGGACTGAGAACCACTGCTCCAGCTGGCTATTTCAGAATCTCAGGGAAAGAAGGGGGTAGGTTAAAGAAACAATATTTTAAAGTATTTCATTTGAGACCATCTTTAATGTATTCAAAACTTTGAGTTACATAAATGAGGATGAGAGGAGTCATTTTGTATTAAAAGATGACGGTTGTTAAAAAGGTTGAGATATAGGTTTAGAGGTAAGAGAAAGCGCTGAAAATTAGTGTTTATTTTATCCATTTATTAGACTTCTTAAATTACACATTAGCGTGTGTGTCCACAATCACATAAGTATGGGTGGAGTCACCAAATCCTTCTCATCTTCATAGCTCAGAACACGTCTGTCTCCTGCCCTCACCGTGTGCAATTTGCTTTTCTCTGTTGTGCAGCTCTGGGAGACATCCATTTAAGATCAGCTGTTTACATGTGACACATCGAAACTGTTTACTTCAACTTTTATAGACACCCAGCCTCACGGAATCACTGCAAATCTATCTGCTCTCCAGACGATACGAACCCCCTGGAGATGCCACGACGGAGAAGCCGAGTCTCGCATCCGGAGACCGTTTTCTTTTCGTCACTGGCTTAGGATTTAACTGAACCTTGAGAAGAACTACTGAAATGTTACACGATCACATGGAACAGTAAAGGTCCTGGTATATTAATGGACAATCCGCATGGCAGATATATGTAGAAGTATCGCTAAAACTAACTCACACGACCCAAATGTAGCAAGTTTTCCAAGGGACAATAGTGGATTCAGAACTTGGTGTTCTGAGGCCCATCCTTGCTGTGTAGACAGTGATGCTGTGTGCATGATGCTTCGGTTTATTGTTTTCCACATTTAAGGAAACAACATCCCATAATAGACACTAGCATGCAGGGCTAAGGCATATAGGATTTTTCTGCAGGACTTTAACGCTTTGAGAGGCCAATATCCCATATGCTAACTTTAAACATGTATTTTTAGGTTGTGATTTTTTTTTATTTTTCATATTTATATCAGCATATGAGGACAATTGTACATATGTCAACATTTTTAAAATTAAAAAGCAGCTGTTCCACACAGTGTATTTTGCCAAATGCCTCAAAACAATCAGTCACAGTCACATCATTGTTATCCATCAGATGATCTTTAAAGAGTAGAAGCAGGTGATGTTGTAAATATAGTAGTAGTCAGTGCTGTAAATGTGTCTCCATAATTGGTATTTGTCCAAAACATGTCACATTCCTTTAAACTGTGCATAGTCTGGAGGCAGTTTTATTGGGTCTTTAGTTGATCAGGAGGACACATGCCCAGCAAAACTCAAGGCCTCCACTGCTTGCAGGGGCACCATCCAGTAAGGGCAGCTGTCCTGCCTGCAGGCCCTCTATGCCGTGGCTGCTCCCCGGGGGTCCTCCAACCTGCTCACTGTTCTCCTGGGGGCTACAGTGGCTGCCTCCAGGAGAACATATTTCAGTGCAGGAGCACATCTGCTGGTTTCCCTCTGGAGGCCTGTGAGCTCCACAGAAGTACATCCTGCTGAGACTTAGCAAGTGCATCAAAGATGCCTGAGACCACAGGCTGCTGCTGCATTGGTGGTTCCCAACTTGTGAATACTCCAACCCAGTGGTTTTCAACCCTTTTAATCTCATGGCACCCATAAACTAACTACTAAAATTATGCTGCACACCAAAAACTGTATTTCTTGCCAATCTGGCAAAAAAAAAAATAGATTTAATTTTGATTCATTGACACCGGATGGCTATTGTTGTGTTGGCTGTTGTCTTTTTTTTTTTTTAATTTGACACTCTAAGAGAAAAGTGGTCAGTGCCCCTGACTAAATAGTCAGGTATTGCATATTTTAAAAATTCTTGAGGCACACCAGTTGAAAATTGCTACTCTAACCCCGTGTGGCCTGAAGTTTTGTTCTTTATCAAAATTTTGCAGCCACCTTTCTCTGTGAAATGAATAATTTGTTTTGCTAAAAAAGAAACTTTCACACTGCGTACTAAGGACATTCATCATCAGTGGGATGTGGGAGTCCCAACAGGTCATTCTGCGCTGACTTGGAAGCGAGAGGCTGGGAGGTTCTACCAGTTGGGCTGGGAAGCCTCACCTTTTAACAAAGGGTTAAAAGAAACCTAAAGCCACAAGTGTGCAGTAATGGTGCAGTTACCCAAACAGCTGGCAGGGGAGAGAACCTGAGGTTTTGAACTCTGTGTTTTTTTAATCCATGGAACAGTGAGAAATCTATTGAAGGCCCTTCTTTACAAGCAGAATTTGATGAAGTCACCAGGCAGCTCTGTCATTCTAAAGAAACATCCCGAGAGCACTTCCCTCTCGAGCTCAGAAACTGATGGGATCAACCACATCCTCTGCGGTGAAGAGTACTTCTGAGTTCCTTCATGTTCTCTCCTTTTTCTCGAGGGGAATGGAATCTGCAGACAAGATTGCAGAAATATCTTCTGAAGTTGATCTCTCCCAGGAGGGTTCACGGACAAAATCCATGTCTTTTCCATAGGTGGTCATCTGGGATCCCCAAACGGAAGGGCCGAGTTAGAAGGCGGTGTGTTTTTCTGTGTATTTATGTCTCCGAATGGACCTCTTTTCTGGAAGTCTTTGAAAATATTTGAAAAATCAATTTAATTATCCAAAATGGTAAAGTTTAAACAGCGTTTTTCATGACAGGAAGGGATGTAACTGTCAAGACTACAAAAAACAACAACGATCCATCAGACTAAGGGTTGGGTGAGTGTTGGGTGACCTTGCCACCTAGCGCAAGCCAAGGGCAGGAGGGCAGATAGATTTAAAGATACAGCAAATAAAGTGGCTTTTGACCCAGATCACTTTAATGTGCACTGAATGTTTTCTGGTATTGAGTGTAAAAAATGCTAATGTATAAGGTTTATTTTGACTATAAAAGAGTTTATAGATTTGAATGTAAGGTACCTTGTGTATATATGCTCCCTAGTTGCAGTTACATAGGCCCTAATTTGAAAGAATCAAAAATAGATAACTATGTAATCAACAGATCTCCCCTACCCATCTCTTTCCTGACCTTCTCAATTATTTTTTACATGAAAATGATTATTTCAAGTGAAACTTGTTATGATGTGCCTTTGGGGCAACATGGTTGCTCTAGAGCAGGGGTGAGGAACCTTTTATCTGCCAAGGGCCATTTGGATATTTATAACATTATTCGCGGGTCATACAAAATTATCAAGTTAAAAATTAGCCTGCTATATTTGGTCAAACATTTAATGAACTCACTCCTAATGCCTTGGCAGGGCCAGGCCAAATGATTTCTCGGGCCTTATCCGGCCCGGGCTGGACATTCCCCATCCCTGCTCTAGAGGTATATATGTAGTTTATCATCATCCTTGGTCAAAACCTTCATATGGAACTGAATGAAAGTGTTTTGTTTATTTGCAGAGAGAATATGATTTTATAGTAGTTTTAATGTTGTCTTCTCAGTATCTACTCTATCTAAGAATGTTTAAACATCCTTACAGCCATTTGCAAGATTCTTTGGCAAGTTTGTAATCTCAGTGGGTAATTTTGAGAAGTACCTATATGTGTACTCATAGTTGGTGTTCTAGAGGTATTAAATCTAAATACCTATGACTTTTCATCCACAGAGGCAGGGAGACTGGACCCATGACACTAAACACAAGTACAGCGTTATTTTTTTAATTGTCTATTTTGGAGGCCTGTGAGGCCACATAGCCTTCTGTATTGTGTAACTAATATCTGTATCTCCCTCCCCCAGTCCGCTATAGGGCCTGCCTGTTGTGCTAAGCAGAGAAGAGCAGTTATCTGGCCTGTGTGTTCCATTGTATGCCTTTTTCCTCTTCCCAAAGTGTTCTGTGCATAGGTAAGACTTCAGATTGACAACCCTGCGGCCTGAGATGTTCCATTTAATCCATAATCATTACAGTGTAATAGAAGAAACATTTAAATTTCTCCACGAAGAGTGTTGGCAATGGAGGTGTGGGGTCACAGGGAGCCCTGAAGGAACCTCTGGCTCAGACTAACTGGTCTCTGCATCCAGCCACTCTCCTTAGAAGGGAAGTGCATCCTCCCCTGCCTCTTCCAGCTAGAGTGTGGCCCCCCGGGTTCATAGTCTGTGAAAGGAATTAACTCAAACAGTGCTGCCTAATGCAGGCTTTCCATTTGCTATAACTGCTGTATTTTTTTTTTTTTTTTACAAAAACCCCAGTGCTATTCCTTAAAAAAAAAAAGTTGACTAATAAAGTAAATGGAAGGTTAAAATGCAAACCATATTTTGATACAAGTGCTATTAAGTGATAATACAGTTCCTCTCTCACTTTTCTCTTGCTTAAAAAAAAAACAACGTTTAATATTGTGTTTATATATAAGGTCAGACCAGCATAGATTTCTGAATATAAGATTGATAAACTTTCTAAAAGAAGTTTCTAAAACATAGAATTAAATAACTTGCTCACTTCCAGAGAAGGAACTCATTCTCTCTCTTTATTCTCTCTCTTTATTCTCTCTCTTTATTCTCTCTCTCTCTCTCTCTCTCTCTCTCTCTCTCTCTCTCTCTCTCTCTCATTGATTCCCTTGTTGATTTGCATCACTTAATTATGCCCATGGCCCCAGATCTCTTGGGGCTACTTTACTTCTTATCTTTTTAGATGTTGCTCTTTGCTTTGTTACCTATAGTTATCTATGGGCCAGAGGAAATAATGGTATTTCAGCGTTTCAAAATCAAGTCTGTTCATTTATTTATTTCATCCATTCTTCTTCTTCTTTTTTTTTTGCTGTCATGTAGTTCTGTTTTAACATATATTTAGCACTTTAAATATTTCCTTGTTATTAACCATAATAATAAATTCTAACTGAAAGAGATGATTTTTTTTTGCACTTCATTTTGCTTGAAGGAAAGGGGAGCTTTTGGGAGCATATGGAGTAGCGTGCAGAGGATATGGAGAACAGTGCGGCAGTGAGTGAGGGGGTGCAGGAGTGAAGGGAGGGAGGACGGCTGCTGCCACAGCCTCATTAGGATCCCACTGCTGCCTGCTGCCTGGACGCGCTGTGGGCAGCACATTTCAATGCCAGCCTACAGGTTGGTAAGTTGGCATGGATTTTCCATGAAACCCTTCTATGTTTTCCTCTAAATCTGTCACCCACATGCTGCTTTTTTTTTCTTAAACGGAGTCAAGATGAATCCCACATTCTCAGTCTACTAAGTTAAAATATATAAGCAGCACACATTCATAGAGAATCTGGCTTAATTTGGAGCTCAGGTCTCCCTGCCCCCGAGATATTTTCTGACTTGATAAGACTGCTCTGAATTTGGATGCAACTTTCCTCCCAAAGGGAGAGTGAAGGACTTTTCAGAAATAGCTTCCCTGTGTATTGGAGTTCGAGGTGGCCAGCCTGCCCATCCTGCTGTGTGTGTGTGTGTGTGTGTGTGTGTGTGTGTGTGTGTTGGGGGAGCAGCCACACCTGCTGGGAGTCGTGGGCGCATGCTCATAGCATATGCTCTGCGGGCAGGTGCTTTTAATCGCCAGAGGAGCTTTCCCAGCACACCTGCAGCAGCAGAGCGAACAGAGACCAGCGGGACCTCAGACAGCAGGGCGTACTATTTCTGTTCACACTTATTCATTGCTTTGTCAGAGTCCCCAGAATGGAGCATCTTCTGATTCGGTTTATAAGTAGAAAACACATTAAAACAAAACAAAAACCTGCCTAGTATTTGTGCCCTTTATATCCAGAGCCCGACAGACAGTAAGCATCCTCGCGGTGGGGTTTGAGAGATGCTCCCGGACCCTCCTACTTCCGAAGTCACTCCCCTCCCAGTAGCTGTCAGCCCTTTTCTCCTGACTAGGAACTTGCACTGTCACCGAGGTAAGTCCCTTTTTTGGCCTAAATTGGCACTTGGGAGAAGCAGAGGGATGTAGAATAGGGGGCAGAGGCACCTTTAGTCTTCTCCCCGGGGCACCTGGGCATGGGGTGCAGTGTTTCAGGATGGAAGGGAGATAGGACGCAGCCAGCCTTGGGGTGCTGGCACAGGAGTAGAACGGAGATCCGCTCCCAGCTCAGGAGCTAACCGTGCAGATGGGCCCAGGATGGCCACTTGGGGTGAGGTGGGGAGAGGTGCTGCGTGCCTACAACAGACAGGCCTGTGTGCTCTGCAGTGTTACCGAGTGTTGGCTTTTAATACTTCATGGTCCAGCCCGTGATGGGCCAGTCACTGCTGCTGCTGCATTGTTCATGGCACCTGCTTTGTAGCTGGAGGCACTTCAAGGCTGGGAAGGTTTTGCTCAAGGGCATCATCATGTCATGTTTTTAGGTCTCCTTAAAGTCCAAATCAGGGAAAACGTGTGTTGTTTTGTTTGTTTTGTTTTTGTTTGTTTTTTTACAAAAAAGGCATACAATGAGACTAGCAGTCTTGTTATGACGAGGCACTTAAAAATGATTAATAAAGTTTCCAGAGTTTGCTAAGAAAAGTACATTTTCCTCTCAAGTTAAAAAGACACACACATACACACATATAATACTAATCTACTTATACTTTAGGGCAGTGATGGCGAACCTATGACACGCGTGTCAGAGGTGACACGCGAACTCATTTTTTTGGTTGATTTTTCTTTGTTAAATGGCATTTAAATATATAAAATAAATATCAAAAATATAAGTCTTTGTTTTACTATGGTTGCACATATCAAAAAATTTCTATATATGACGCGGCACCA